AGACAGACAGACAGACAGACAGACAGACAGATAGATAGATATACCTCCTTCCCTTGCCAACTTAATGAATAATGAATACACTGAATAAACTGCTAAATAAATGATTGATTTTAATAGTGCATGATATTAAAGATAAAATTATCTTTTGATTCAAGTAAAACCTCATTTAATTTTTGCTTTAGAAAATTCATCTATTAGGAGATTGCTATGAGTTGTTATGTGAATCTTAGATATTGATTTTGCTGCAACAGGGTCTGAAAAAAAGTAGAAGACCCCATTCTGAAAGAACCACTCTATACCCTCAATGGCTTGTATTAATTTAGGTGTAGCTATCTTATTTGTGGTTGTGGGGTAATTTTACAAAAACAAAGTGTAAAAATCACATAATTGTTCATAAGTTATGAAGTAGAGCATCAGAAAGTCATATGTCTCTGTACAATCTTAGTGATGAGGAAATCAGTTGTTTTATGCCATTTTTTCTAGTTCACCAAAGGATTTGTCTGAAAATCTTCAAAGCTCTCTCTCATTGTCTATGATCTAACGTTAAGGGATTAGGTGAGGTTAACTAGATTTCAGGGAATTAGAGTGTTTAAAGGGTTTGTGGTTTTTATACTGTGAAATCTAGAGCAGAGACTACAGTAACTTCCCATAACGAAAACAATTTCATATTCGTTAATTGAAAAAAGTTCATATCCGTTAACTGAAAAAGTACAAAACATCTCACACATTCACAAACTTTTCACGAACATTTACAACCTGTTAAAAAGTTACTTCCTTTATTTATTTATATTTAATAAGACACACTGAATTGGCCGGTTGTGTAATGTCTTTTAAATTAAATTGCCTTCATTTCAATATGTATATATATATACTGTATATCACAATTGATCAATTTAACTGCACTAATACAAACCCTATAAAGGAGACTAGCTCTATAAAGGGCTGTCAAACTTTTTACTCCAGGTCATTTGTCAGGGTGATTTTATTGTAAAGTCACTTATCTTGTCTTGTCTTGACTACAGAAAGCATATTGAAAATTTCTGGTGTAAACAATATATTGGTATATTCTACATTATTAGCTTAACATGGTAATGCCCTACTGAATACTATTTGTGTGCTACATTGAATTGCAGCCTTATAAGACCGCATCCTATGTAGGCAGTAGACAGCTCACGGGGTTTTGGAACAGACCTCTGTCCACTGAGGGCTTCTATATAACTTCAAATGGTCCCTCTTCTTCAGAGAGTAAAGCAAAAGTACTGTCAAGAGACACAGACACAGCTTCAGATCCACACACACACAAATCTCTCACTCTTCATCACTCTTTCAGCCTGAAGGACAGCTGTGACTCAGCCCTGACTGTCCACCAGCAAACCGCTCTCAAGGAAACATTCAGAGCTCTTTTCACACACATGTATGAATGAATACATATTGGGGGGGGGGTATTTGTGTTTGCGGAACGATGTATGATACATCGTGTACACTCACTAAACAAGTGAGAGTGGAGAGATTCGTCCTCACGCGAGCCTATCGCAAGACATCTGGTAGGGGGGGCACCTGGGGTGCTATCGCAAGCCATCTGGTGGGGGGGGCACCTGGGGTGGTCAGCCAAATTTCAGGGGGGGCCGGTGCCACCCCTGGCCACCACGTAGACACGCCCCTGATCTGTAGCCATTATGCTTGTGCCTGGAAGTCTTCAAGTCATTTGCCTTAAAAGCCAGGTGACATCTGTCTGTCTTTATTCAACAGAAGAAGGCCAATCTGATGCAAAGTGGAGTCAGGGATTACATGGTTGTGCTTTTATATTTATATTCAGCAGTAATGAAAGAGATATTGTGTGTGTGTGTGTGTGTGTGTGTGTGTATAGACACACACACACATGCTAAATGTTATTTATTTATTGTAAACCATACTATTATCATTATTATTATAAGTAAATAAACTAGTACAGTGTGTTGACTAAAACAAGTGAATGGATTAATAATTTGGGGGAACAAATTCTTAGTTTGTAGCCATTATAGCTTTTATTCATTTATTTAAATTTTTATCTAACAACACTGTTTGCTAAATTCTTCCTAGAAAGACAGAACTTCACTGACAGTTTGAAAGCTGAACTGAAACAGTCTTACAAATCAATTGCAGTTCTATTAATGAACAGAAAAGGTATGACAGATACATGTGAAACCATTCACGTAACACTCCACTCACAAATACTGCATGAAAAATACTATTTTAAAAATAAACCTAGAACTTCCTTATCCTACGTAATCCCCATGAAGGATGGATTTCAATGAACTTGTCGCAATCATCATGGAATAGTCTTCTACGCAAAGAACACACACGATACTGACTGAGAACTTGGCCCAAAAACGTATAGGATCAAGCTGTCCACCTTTTGGAAGTCTTCACAATTGCAGTGTGCCTAAATGCTACATAGCCATCTTATTAGATTTGTCAACAGAGCCATGTACTGTACTGTATGTAACAGATGAAATAATGTGATTAATAAATTACACCATGCACCATGGATCAGGTGACTGTGCAACTAGCCGCTCTAGAGCCGCACATATTCTCAGGATTTTGTCCACTTTGGTTTCAGACTGTTTTATGCAAGAACTTATATATGTTAAGCCTCCCAATTGCACATTCCACATGTATTCTTTCACTTGCATTTCTATCCAAACTCTTCCTCTTTCACTTTTGCTCCTTCGTGTGGGAAAAATAGAGCTATTGCTGTGTGCAATCATCAGGTTATTCAGACATGCCAGCCGAGAGAAAATCATTTGTGAACATCTTAACCTCGCACTGCAAAAAAAAAACAGGTATTGTTATGAAAAGACGTGCACAGGTTCTTGAAGAAGCCTTTCTAATCACAGGCCACCAGCAGTCATAAACACCTAAATGGCCTTATTAAAAAAAAAGTCTATAAAGCGTTTGAACATATGGTTGCTGTTATTTCTATCAAGACAAGGACACAGCAGTGAGACAAACTGAAGGCCGCATGAATCGGACTATAAATAACATCACATGACACATATTGAGTTTTCAAAACAACCAAGATTCAAACACACCCATACTTTTGTGATTTTTATTTATTCAATTGACACTGCATTACAAAAAAAAAAAAGTTTTAATTACTGATGTTGAAGTGAATGATATAAGGCATTTATCAAACATACTGTAAAAGTAACAAACCTCTGTACCTACAGTATAAAAAAACTTTCACCAGCATTATATATGACTCCCCAGTATAAAAGTTGTGTATCAAATGCCCACATCTGATATGGCTTTTTGTTCAGTAAACATCAAATGGGCAAAAACACCATCTGATGAAAATCATCTAATAATTGTGTTTCACTGTTAAAAAGCCAGAAAAACACTGTTTATTTACCTGAACATTCTGTGCAAATGGTCATTTTTCTCCCTACGTTTCATTGCCGTCATCCATTCATAAAACGTACATATGAACAACATATCTGTAAAATCAATGTTTTTTTTCCGGCAGAATGCATGTGCTGCCCTCCAGCGGCAGAAGCTTAAATGTGCATTATGTGCAACTGCTGCCATTAAGCCCAAAGCTCCAAACCTACCACAAATTTTACACATTAACATTGCAAATTAAGGGATGAATGGCAAACATTAAATCAATTTTTATCAGATTAAATATATCGAAGGCAGAATATTACAGCTAATCTAGGTCTGTAATAAAAAAAAAAGGAGTGAATATCAGAGAATGGGTCAAAAACATGCCTGGGTCATATTGCATATTAAAATCAAAAGAAAGAAATAAAGACTCATATTTTGATTAATAAAACAGAGAACATTTAAAATTTCTTTTAGGATCAGTATTTAATTTCATGGAAATTGAGCACATTACAAAAAAAAAAATCTCTGATTTATAGTGCTATATTACGTACATTGTCAAGAATTTATACAACATGGTAGTATTTGTTGCATTGCTTGTAATTTACACTGATTTAAAAAAAAAAAAAAAGGTTTTTTACTATAATAAAAAATTCACCCCCCCAAAAAATGACAGCAGTTTGGATCAGCAACAAACACCGTAAAACCTACAAAACCAATAAAAAGTGACCCCAGTAACCTTAGAATACAGCAGTCTGTGACGCCCTTAAAGGGATAGTTCCACAACTAAAGGGATTCTGTCATTAATTACTCACCCTCGTGCTGTTCCAAACCCGTAAGACCTTCGTTCATCTTCGGAGCACAATTTAAGATATTTTTGATGAAATCTGAGGGCTCTCGGACCCTCCCATAGACAGCAAGGTAACTACCACGTTCAAGGTCCAGAAAAGTACCAAGATGAACGACAAAGTAGTCCGTGTGACATCAGTGGTTCAACTGTAAAGTTACGAAGCTACGAGAATACTTTTTGCGCAAAGAAAACAAAAATAACGGACTTTATTCCACATTTTCATTCATGACAGTATCATGACGCGAGCTACTTTGTCGATCATCTTGGTACTTTTCTGGACCTTGAACGTGGTAGTTACCTTGCTGTCTATGGGAGGCTCAGAGAGCCCTCAGATTTCATCAAAGATATCTTAAATTGTGTTCCGAAGATGAACGAAGGGCTTACGGGTTTGGAACAACACGAGGGCGAGTAATTAATGACAGAATTTTCATTTTTTGGTGAACTAACCCTTTAAATCTTCACTAGATTGTTCCAGCATCAACATTTAAAACAACAAAGGAATTTAATGTGCAATTGCTTAAAAAGATAGTGTAATCAGGAAAGATTTCAACACTGTTTCAAATACAGAATTAATTCTTGTCTTCTCTTGCTCAGTGATCCCACACGAGGTCTGGGGTCGCCCACCTCTATGATCTGCTGGGCACTGGAGGGTAATAGACTGGCATGGAGTGATCACACACACTGAGATCTGACTGGCCACCGACAAGCACTTCGGGGATGGCATTGCTCCAGATTTCTTTGGTTGACTTTTCGCAATCGATCAGCTGGAAATCCCTGTCAACACAGAGCTCTATTTGGCCCAAAGTCTGAACCTGGCCTCCCTGAGAAATACAGTAAGAAATGAGATTTCACCTTAGCAAAACTGATGGCAAACTGTGGTCACTGTGCATCTAACTGTTGCCCTGAGCAGATCAGTCCCACCATTTATCAAATCAAGAGGAAATCAAAGTGGACACCATTTACTTTCCTAAAGGAATATTCGAATAATCGACACAAGTTATGTTCAACTGACAGCATGTTGCAATAAATAAAAATAAAAAAATTACTTATTATTATTAATAATAACTTCAATATTGTTGGCTCTGTGACAAATTGCATTTGTTCCTCTATTATAAGTCACTTTGGATGAAAGTGACTGTTAAATTCATGAATGTAAATTATGTTGATTACCACAAACTTGGCTTGACTTGGCTCTTATTTTCTTTTAAAATTAAAAAAAAAAAAAAGTAAAGTAAAGGTACTTACACTGGGAACATTTTTTGAAGACTTAAAAGCAGAAATGTGAAGCTTATAGATTATATATATATATATATATATATGTATTAAGTGAGCTGTAAAGTTATTTAAGTTTTCATGGCAACAAATTTGTAAAACTTGATATAACTTTCTGTAAAAAAAAAAAAAGGTTGTGTGATGTTTTCACACTAAAATCATACTACATACTACCACTGAACCGCCTTATGTTTACACATCAAACCCATTGACTTCCATTGTAAATCATAGATATTGTGAATGGGTCTGTAACATACTGTTACACTGTAACATAGATATTTGCCTTATTTCCCACCCCCCTTACTTCTCAACCTTTTTTCTGACCACAAAGGTTGGTCAGAATATTCTGTCTGTCTTCATTCATACCTTTCCTGGATGGACGCACTGAATCTTAGGCTTCACCCCGAAAAAGCTGGTAATGGCTGTCTCCACCTGATCCAGCTAAAATAAACGGGAAATATGACACATTCACTCACATGTGCCTATAATCACAAGATTCTTGTTTACTGCAGCCCAAAAATAGAGAAGTTGAATAAACGCAACTAAAGAATGCAAGAAGTCAGTTTGTGTCTGTTGAAATGCTGATGTTTGTTGGGCAATAATAACGCACGCTGCGGTTTAGGAAAATACTTTGAGGCCTCTTATTAGATGGATGACACATTTTGAGAATTTTTTTTTATCTGATCATTATTTCAATTATACAAAGTTGTGGAATCACTGACAGGAACAGAAAACAGCAGGCTGGACCATTACAGTAAACACACTCCAACACAACCCTAGCTGCT